AAAAAGTTCAAAATGTATTAAAATTTCATAATGGCCTAAAAAGTTCAAAATCACCTAAAAAAAGTTCCAAATGTACTAAAAAGGTCCAAAATGACTTTAAAAGTTCCAAATGACCTCACAAGCAGCTTTGTCCTACTCTTAAACAACAAAGTTGCAAATTACCTAAAAAATTCCAAATGTACTAAAAAATTCCAATTGTCCTAAAAACTTCCAAAGTCCCCAAAAAGTGACAAATGATGACAGCTTTTTCCTAATTTAACACAAAAAAGTTTCAAATGACCAAAAATGTTCCCAATGTACTAGAAAGTTTCAAATGGCCTAAAAAGTTCCAAATGTACTAAACATGTGAAAATGGCCTAAAAAGTTCCAAATGTACTAAAATGTCCAAAATGATGTTAAAAATTTCCAAATGACCTCACAAGCAGTTTTCTCCTACTCTGAAACAACAAAGTTGCAAATGACCTAAAAAGTTCCAAATGTACTAAAAAGTTCCAGATGATTTAACTAGCAGCTTTTTCCTAATTTGACACAAAAAAGTGTCAAATGACCAAAAATGTTCCCAATGTACTAAAAAGATCCAAATGACCTAAAAAGTTCCAATTGACTAAAAAGTTCCAAATGTACTAAAAATTTCAAAATGGCCTAAAAGTTCCAAATCACCAATAAAAGTTCCAAATGTACTAAAAAGTCCAAAATGATGGCAAAAGTTCCAAATGACCTCACGAGCAGCTTTGTCCTACTCTTAAACAACAAAGTTTCAAATGACCTAAAACGTTCCAAATGTACTAAAAAATTCCAATAGTCCTAAAAAGTTACAAATTCCCTAAAAAGTTACAGATGATCTCACTTTTTTTTCATAATTTGACGCCAAAAAGTTTCAAATGACCTAAAACGTTCCAAATGTACTAAAAAATTCCAATAGTCCTAAAAAGTTCCAAATTCCAACATTGGACTGGGTACAGCCCAAATCCACCATCGCCTGATGTGTACCCCCCTGAATCCTTACCGGAACACTGTACGTCCCTCTTGGACCGGGGTAGGGAGCTGGAGGGCCGACCACCCGGATCACCTGGCCCACCTCCATCAGTGGACACTCCTGACGAAAGTGGCCCGGTAGCCCACACCTCCAGGCGACCTCCCTGTCGCCTGAGGAACCCCCTGTGGGTGGGGAGCAGCGGCCAGGTCCTGGACCTGGGGGGGAGCAGAGCAGCGAGTACGGGGGGCAGGGAGGGGACGAGCAGTCGTGGGGGCACGCGGTCTGGGTGCCAGCGTTGGCGGGGCTGACGGCTCGCAACCCGACGACCGACGTGGAGAAACCATCGCCAGGTGGTCTTCAGCCAAAGTGACCCCCGCCGCCAGATCCGCCGGGCGGTGGTGCCGCACCCAGTCAGACGTTGCAGCCTGGAGCCCTGCCACGAACCGCTCCAGGACCACTGCCTCCGCCAGCGTGTACAATAACATTATTCCCTCCATTAAGGATCAAAGACTTACAAACATTTATATTAATAGTGTTCAGCGTTTTTACTCCATTTTCAGAACTGGTGAAGTACTACTGAGGTAGAGATTCACTTAATACAAGATATGAATCTAATGATCTAATTACCTTTATCTGTAAAGTAACAGTTTTTTATTTTTATTTATAAATGAATTATTTTACTGTCATTTTGGCCCTCCCATATCTGTATAACTACAGATAAAACTAAACAGTCTGAACCAAGACTGGTTCCTCAGAGGGGGGGCCTGCTTCTGAACCCACGCTGGTTCCTCAGAGGGGAGGAGGGTCTGCTTTGGGGGGTCTGCTTCCTGAACCAGACTGGTTCCTCAGAGGGAGGGGGGGGTCTGCTTCCTGGACCCAGACTGATTCCTCAGAGGGGGGACCAGGTCCAGAACCAGACTCTGGTCTCCTCCTGTGTTCCAGCAAAGGGCCTGGTCAGGAGCCTGCTGGTGGTGGACCCGACCCACAGGCTGAGCATCGACCAGGCTCTGCAGCACCGCTGGCTACAGGTCAGCCCAGACCACAGATGACGTCACCGATGACGTCACTAGTAGGGATGTCCCGATCCAGCTTTTTTCACTTCCGACCTATCAGAGCATGTGTTAAAGTTTAAAGTTATTTAGCCATCTTACTTAGCTGTCAGACTCATGTTGAACAGAGATTTACTCTGATAACAACGTAATGGTTAGGACACAGACCTGTGGTTACAGATGCTAATGCTAATGCTAATGCTCGTGTGGGATCGGATTTAAAAAAAAACAGGATCTGGAGTCTGGATCTGCATTTTCTCCTGCCAGCCGATACGCTCATTTTTTGCAAATATCGGCGGCCGATCCGATCCAAATATCGGTCACCAGTGATGTCACTGACCCCCGTCAGACCCAGGGGTGACATGTGTTTAGTCCTGGTGCATCATGGGAACTGTAGGCTCACTGAATGATTCTTGTAGGATCCAGAGATGTTGCAGACAGCCCACAGACTCATGTACCCGTCAGGGGGAGATGCCCCCGTCCCAGGACTGGATCCTGCCCCAGGACCCCTTGTCCCAGGACACCTCATCCCAGGACCAGTTCCTTCCCAAGATTGGATCCTGCCCCAGGACCAGAGGAGGTCAGAACCCACTCGGAGGAAGCGAGGAAAAGAAGAGGAGTCGATGGCGGCCGCCCGGCCAACTGTGGCTGAACCCCAAAGCCCCGCCCCCTGCTGGTGTGGTACGGTGGGACGTTTGTAAAGGATCCATCTGGATTAAGGATTTAGAGGCAGGTCCAGACTCGGTTTACCTGCCGAGTCCTGGTTCCTGCTGCTCCTCAGGGGCCGGCTCAGGCCTGAACCAGAACCGTGCTGGGACCAGGTCCAGGTCCAGGTCCAGGTCCAGATCCAGATCCAGTTCCATGCAGCTGCTTCCAGCTGCTCAGAGTTTAAAACTTTATCAATAAAAACCTTTTAACCCAATCAGCGTGTTGAGTCCTGAAATCTGACGGTCTGCAGCAGAACCAGAACCATGACCTGAGCTGGACCCAACGCTGGCTCATCCCTTGAGTTAGGGACCTGTTTCTGCCTATATGGCAGAGAAAAAAAATGTTCTCAGAGAACACGTGAGAAAATATCTTTATTTCTGTTTTCATTACGAGCTGGATGAGCTGCAGGCGGCTCCTCCAATCAGGCGGCTTCCCCTGGGGGTGACCTCACAGCCGGGCCCGGCGGCGCTCTGCGACGGCGAGCAGCACGGCGTGGGCGGCGTGGAAGGCCTGGCCGGTGGCGGCCTGCACGCGGCCCCTCCAGCTGCACAGCAGGGGGCGGTCCTTTAGCACGTCCCGCCCCCCCCCCAGAGGCTGCGGACACAGGGAGCATGCTCCGACCCCGAGCCCACCCCCCCCCCCCGAGGCTGAGCATGCTCCAGCCCCCAGCCCCCCCCACCCCGACCAGGAGCCCTCCTGGCCCCGCCCCCCCCCTCTGACCTGCATGAGCTCACACAGGGCCAGCAGGTCGGCCAGGCTGACGTCGTGTCCGCAGAGGAATGGCTGCCGGCGCAGAAACACGGCCTCCAGCCGGCCCAGGGTGGTGTCCAGCTGCCGCAGCGCCGCCTGCAGGCGCTGCCCGTCCGGCGGGGCGCCGCTGCTGGCCGGCAGCAGCACCTGGGGGGCGGAGCCACAGGCCGTGAGCGCTGGGGGGCGGAGCCACAGGCCGTGAGCGTGCATGAGAGCGTGCGCTCACCTCCAGCTGGAAGACTTTGGCGGCGTGCGGCCGCGTGTTGGTGTGGTGCCAGGCCGTATACTCGTCCACGCGGGCGCGTCTCTCCGGTTGCCGTGGATACCAGTGATCGGGCACGTCGTACCGCGTGGCGAGATACTTCAGGATGGCGTCGCTGAGACAGGCAGCACAGACGAGTGGGGTTACCCCCACAGCTAACAGCTAACGGCAGAGGCGATTAAATAACAGGAGCTAACAGGCTAACAGCAGCTAACAGAGGCTAACAGCTAATGCCAGCTAACAGGCTATCAGCTGCTAACAGAGGTTAATAGATAACAGCAGCTAACAGGCTAACAAAGAACAGCAGCTAACAGAGGCTAATAGATAACACCAGCTAATAGGCTAACAGCTAACAGAGGCTAATAGATACCACCAGCTAATAGGCTAACAGCTAACAGCAGCTAACAGAGGCTAACAGCTCATGCCGGCTAACAGCAGCTAACAGAGGCTAAAAAATAACACCAGCTAACAGGCTAATAGCAGCTAACAAAGGCTAACAGAAGCTAATAGATAACAGCAGCAAAGACGCTAACAGCTAGAAGCGGCTAACCGAGGCTAATAGAAAACAACAGCTAACAGGCTAACAGCTAGCAGCAGCTAACAGAGGCTGAGGGGTTCTGGGCTGGTCTTGTGTGAATGAACCTCTCAGTGAGGACGAAGCCGCGATCCACCAGGACAGGAACCTTCTGCATGGGGTTCAGCTCCGTGAAGGCTGGAGCTCGCTGTTCCCCTGCAGGCAGAAGAGAGGCTCAGTACCACGGTCTGACCCGGTCAGAACCACCGGTCAGACCTGCTCAGAACCACCGGTCAGACCTGCTCAGAACCACTGGTCAGAACGGTGGGACTGACCTACACGCGGCCGATGGGACAGAAACTGGACTCGGTTCCGGTATCAGTTGTTACAGAACTTGTTGACCCCCTGGCGGGTCTCTTCAGCAGGTTTAGAGTACCGGTGTCACCTTTTTTCAACCACATTTGGCCTTTAATCAATTTCTAGCAGGGCGTTTTGACCTCAGCCGACTTGGTTGAAGAAAGGTGATTTTTGCCTAAAAATGAGTTGTTCTATTTAAAATAGGAGGCTTATGAATGAAATCAAGTCATATTTGGGCAGATATGCCCTTTGAATGACAGTATTTGGGCTTTAATCAGTTTCTAACAAGTCGGCTGGTCAATACTGCCTGCTAGAAATGGATTAAAGGCCAAATGTGGTTGAAGAAAGGTGATTTTTGCCTAAAAAGGACTTGTTCTATTTAAAATAAGATGCTTCTGAATTAAATAAAGTCATATTTGAGCAGATATCCCCTTTGAATGACAGCATTTGGGCTTTAATACATTTTTTGCAAGTCAAAATGGCTATTTTGTGTTGTAATGGTCCTTTAAAAGAGTTCCAAGCTGTTTTGTTTTTGTGAAAACCGATTGAAAACTGCAAAACACATAGAAACATGGGAAACTCGTGCTATATACGGCCAGATCAGATAAAAAAACAATGCAGAGTCACGAGGATCGTTGCAAAAGTTATCATATCTTTATTGAAAACCCTCCAGTAAATCATATTTATTGTAGTGTAGTCTCCAATGTCAGGGCTACACAAAGTCATCAGACCGAGTATACACACATGTCTGTCACGTAACTGCCGTTATGTGACAAACGTTAAGCTTTCGAATCTTTAATTAGGCCTATATTATAATTTAATTAGGCCTATATTATAATGCAACTGTGTGTATCTGCATGTCATGACCGTTTAATACAGAGAAAAGCAGGTTTACGGTATCGCTCAGCGGGCTGCGGTGCGCGCTCCCGCGAGCTTAATCAGATTCTCGCAAACATTCACTTTTTCGCACAACACCGGAACCGGGTTAAATGCTTTGGTACCGGCTGGCAGACCGGACCGGACTGGAACACGTGCAAACGCTTCGCCAAAGAGTCCAGCAGACTCCCCGAAACGGTCCGCTGTCTCTTCGTGCGTTTGTCAAGTTCGCGTTTAGACGCTTTTAAAGAAATCGTAAAATTTACGGATTTCATGCGGCGGTTCGTAGCAGTGGATCAAAGGTCAGCGGCCCGGAGGTCAGAGCGACAGATCCCGGAAGGACAGAACTCCGCACCCCGGCGGGTCCACTGCTAAGCACCCCGTTGGTTGTGCAGTCGGTTCGGCGGTCCGGTAACCGGACAGCTCACCTTTCCGCAGTGCCACGGTCCGGACCCGGTGCGGGATCCCGGTGCAGGCGAGCAGGATGTGCACGGCCCGGCAGGGCTGCGACATCAGGTCCAGGTAGACCTCCAGCGGCTGGGCCATCTCCATTCGGGCAGAACCGGCTGTGGCTGCGGGGCTGAGCGGGTCGGGGCTCCGCAAACGGCCCGTGTCCTGTGCGGTGCCTGCTCCCGAGCGCCCCCTGCAGGCCGCAGAGGGTTCTGAGGGGCCGGCGGTGTCCGGGACAGACAGGGAACCGGGACCAGGACTAGTACCAGCACCGGGACCAGGACCGTGACCAGGACTGTGACCGGGGCTACGACCAGGTCCAGGGCTAGGACCAGCACTGGGACAAGCAGAACCTACTTTAACC